TCAGGTCCAGCTCCTTGCCAAGAGACTGGCCATCATGACGGAGGGATTTTGTGGTTTTCCTCAGTCCCTCCAGACAAATGTCAGAGCAGGACTTTCAATTAGACAACTACTGCTTCCTTCTGCATCCCTTCCAGTTCATTATTCATTAATGATCCCATCATTTGATGCAATGTAGTCTAAGCTACTGATGGTATCATAAAATAAACCATAATAATAATTATAAATAAAATAATAAAAAAGGCAGATTTTAAAAATAACCAGAAGACGGCCGTCTTCGCGAGAACCTCAAATCCTACTGAAATAGTATGTGGTTTCAATATACATATCTTGGTGTGTGTTGAGGTTATGTATATGGGACAATTATGTGTGAATTAAACACATCCGCACTTGTTTCACTACATAATAACAATTACATAGATTATTTTCAAGAAACAATATGCACGCCCGAACTATAGTCTGTTCGTATAAACAAGCAACTAATTTTGGTGTGTCTGCATGGTGGACACTATCCATTATCCATTACTGATGATCTAGCCAACACAGCAGGTCACATCAAGCTTTAGGGAAGAAACTGAAATAAAATTTGATTCTAAATGCTTAAAATACTTGGTGCATATTTTTAAAATAAACTGAATATAATTTTTGACCCTGTAGTGCAACGAGCCCTGCAATAAATAACATCATGGCTGAGGTTAGGTTATATCAAAAGAAAGTGCATTTGGAAAATATTTACATGCCATTTCACTCTTCACCTTATTTTATTTGTAGTAATCTGTCTGCCGACAGGTCCATATGAACAGGATCGTTCCATCCTTTTCTCGGACTGGGACCTGTTCATATACGTTCTTGGCAGATGATCCAGAAGTGGTTTGCCATTGCCTTCTTCTGTGTGTGAATGGAGGAATTGTTGGGATGCCACGGAGGAAAACTCCGTGTTGCCTAGACCACGGCCTTGCCCATCACAAGTTATAAATCGAACCCGAGACCCCAGGATTACAAGGCCAGCGTTCTAACCGCTAGACCACCGTGGCACTTCTTCACCTTATGGACTGATATTACAATAGTAAGAGAGTCAAACTGACTGATAAGAGCACTCAATTTGTATCTATGTAAACTCTTCTCTGCTCTATACTTTCCTTCACTCTGTGTTTGTATCCAGTCATGGGTATTCCCAGTGTTAAGCTGACAAACTTCAACCTTAACACTCTCAAAGTAATCCTAACATCATCAATGGCACATAAAATTACAATGCTGAATTACATAGATAATATTTAAAACGAGTCTGTCTGTACCTTCTTGCCGATTTTCACTGTACTTGGTTTCCCATGCATCAAATATCATATTGTAGTACCGTGGAGCCTCAAAGAACTCGTGATACACGTATGTGGAAGCTGTTGGGAAGATCTTCACAAACCTAAACACACAATATTACACATCCATCAATCACAGTTGAATATTAGTCCCTACGTTAGATGCAATAACAAAGCAGTCTTGTAAGAATAATTTCATGTTAGTGTACAGTAATAAAATTCCAAGTTATTTCTATGCGTAAAGTCAATCCTTAATCTGTCAGCATCTCTGTACTCCCTTGTTCTAAAAAGTGTCCTAGTTTCTCTTACAGGATTTAATTTTCAAACACCGCACTTATATGTAATCCTCTGGAGCAAAAGACTCGTGTTCTAGTCATTCGATCACTGGACAATCAATACTTAAATCTGTCAGCCAATTGTGAAGTTCTGTTAGGATATGTGGATAAGTAAGGTTAATGGTGGTGGTTGGAGTGAAGGTGGAATTTAAGTCTACTAAGTAACAGAAATATTTAAAGCAGCAACTTTTAATGAACCATGCCAAGAGAAACTGCACCTGAACACGTAGGAACTCTGGTCTTCACAGCAATGTGAACACAGACAGTGTCCTTCTGAGTTGTCATGCTGTGTAGTCTTCTGGCTGTACACCAACATTCCAGAGGACTACACTGCCTCCATCTTCGGGGCTGAATCCAGAAGATGGAGGCAGTATATTCCTCTGAAAGAAATAGGTAATCAAGGACTAAAATAAGAAAACATCAAGAATACTGATGTCCACATCTGCACAAAAACATGCAAATGTTTCAAGAACATCTGCTAAAAGAACTACAGATCTACTAAGATTAAATGGGAACCAGTCGATAAAAGCGACATCTAAACGAGCCTGGGCTGGTAAACAGTCCAACGGTGAGAGACATCACAATAAAGAAGAAACAGCCTCACAAATTCTATGTGATTCTCAGGCCTTGACTGAATCACAATTTCATCACTTGGAATCATGTTTCATGAAACCAGCTGATTATCACATGGCCCCACTACGCAAACTTTCTCACTTCATTCCCGGTGAAGGACTAACACAGAAGGGGATTCAAAACAAGATCGCACATGGCTGCAGTATAAGTATAGTTAATAACTCACCCTATTCATTCAATTGTAATGGTGTCCAGCCCCTCTCCCCCTAAAAAATATGGTCAAATAACCCAGAAGACCACTATCTATAAATACAAAACAGTACATAAAAACTGTGTAACCTAAAGTCTTATTTCCTATGAAAATCAAAATAGAGAACAGTAACAAGATGATTTTTTAGCTGCTGCGAAACTGTGACTTCTTATGTGCACAAATTTCACACTGTTTCATCCATGAGCTTTGAGTGCCTTATGCACAGAAACAGAGGAACACCACAAATCCGGTAACCGGATCAATTTGAGCACTGCGCATGCCACGGGAAAGTAATGTGATGAGATAATGAATATCTGTATTCACACAGCTGCATATGGCACTTCAATGATTAGGAAGAAAAATGTTTTTAAAAATTTAAAAATGTGAAACCTTCACCCCAACTCGATCCATGCAGAGCACAACCAGAGATTTAACTCTGTTACTCGACAGGAACGTGAATAGGCACAGGAGGTACCGGTAAGAACACAAATATAGTACATTACTTTCTTACACTAGGGCAGCCATGAACACATGGCTTGCACAGAACAGAACGGCCTGGAATCCACAGGCGCTACAATCAAAAAATCCAAAGAAGCCATGTGCACTGCAACCCAAATGCAGTCACAGGTTGCAGGAAGTTATTGGCATGCATCGCCAATGATTTCTAAGAAAGGATATGCCCAATTGCAACAAGGTTCTTCCCATTTGTTTACAGAATAATAATGAAGCTACTGTTGAAGCATTCTATTCTGGCTGTTTCTATAAGAGAAACCACCGTCCGAGAGCATGACATCACCCGCACCTTTTCGAAAACTCCTACCACGTGTGTGACTGTCCACAGTGTTTCTCAACACTGCGAACCACTGCTGTAACAAGACTCCACTGCCTGAATATCACAGTATTTACTGACAAAGCAGCACTTTAAAAGAATAAAAATATCTAAATGAGACATACAGTATAAAACTTGAATTGGGGCTAGCAAGACAAGACATAATGAACTGGGAACATAATCAGCTGATAAATGAAATTAAGAAACCTTCCAACTGAACAAAACATAACTTGAAAGAAATGTGCTTAGTGTTACAAAACATGCAACAAGCTGAATATAATAATAAGAAATAAATTTTATGACCCAAATAATTATGTGCAGAAGTACATAAACAGAAAAAAGAAAAATATGTTTAAAAGGAAAATTTGGTAAGGTAAATGTATGTGAAACAGGTGAGATACAAACCAGTATTCTCTCAATATGTGGCCATCTCCTCACCAAGGATATTCACTGTGAACAAAATACTTTGTGTTCATCTTTCATCTATGCCTGTGGACTATCAAGTGCCTTATACCAACCACAGCACAGCACTTAAATGGCTATCATGTAAGCATCATTCCTTAACTCAAGTCATCTGGTTTCTCATCTCATAATTAAGAATAAAATTGTGCTAACAAGAATCTGAGAAAGTCTACTATTAGATTACGACAACCAGCTCCGGCAGTTTTGAAATGAACTGAACTGCCAGCACGTTACTGAGATAAAGAGAAACACGTTGATTAACGCGTTTGCTTCTTACATGTCATACTAATGTAGTACAACACTGGCCCTGCCACATGTTACCTAGAAATGATGACATATTGTGTCTCATTACTTTATCACGACTCCTACAACAGGAAATTATGCCACTTTTAGGAATTGCTTCACATTCTTACACAAGTGTAACACATACAGTCACCAAATGAGTATGTCACTGTTTTTCAATATGTAATGGTCTTGATGTCAATTTATTTATGCAAAACTTTATTCCTACTTTGTTCTTAGCATATTATAGTGATACTCTGTTTTTTTTACATAACCTCAGAGAATGTTCTATACTTTTAAAAATTCATTCTAAGAGCAGTTATGCACAATAATGAAATTTGTACAGCATATTAAAAAATCAATGTTTGCCACTTAATTGCTTTCAATGTCAGCCCCACCGGTGATTCTACACATATCACAATAGCGATCAGTCTCGCTTGCATGTCAACTGATTCACCAGCATCTTGAATGTGAATTATGAGTTCAATGAGATTCTGAAGCACTCCTTGATAAACCCCCAAAATAAAAAGAAAAAAAAACGGCGACTGTTAAGCGGTCACTCGGATAACTAATTTCCTAGAGCCAACTTTGCCTGCAGAAATAAGCAGGAGTCCTCAACCCTTGCCTTTATAAATAAAATCGCTCTATATATATAAACTGCTTATACCAGGCATAAATGAACGGTCTAGCAGCTGAGCTCAGCACAAACTCTCTCTGCACTACCATCACCAATCACCTTTCTGCACATGCTTTGCCATTTTATCAATTGCAACTTCAATGCACCTTTTGGCTGATGACATAAGCAATGAAGAGCAAGTTTAAATTATCTAATACATGCCTTACAAATTTCACTGCTGTACATTGCTTACTTATTTAAGTGTATAAAGACCATTTCTAACCAATCTGTACGAAGCTGTCCAACTTCTTACTAGAACAGTTATTAAACTTTCTGAATAGCCCTCACTAGGCCAGATTCTTCTGGTTACAGACAGAGTCGAGTGATGTGTTCCTGTGAACACAGTAATGAACTTTCACGTTCCACAAAAGGCAGGTAGTTTCTTGGATAGCGCAGCGACTATCAGCTTCTCAAGAAGGACTCTGTTCCATGGTGTTAGTTCATTAGTTACTGTTTGTACTTTACATCTACAATTAAATATTTACCTTCCAGCTTGAGTTAATTCATCTTCTGACTGAATGAGATGCCGCACATCATCTGGAGTCAAATCCTTCAAAATATCTTCAAGATACTGAGGAGGAAAAGCAGGGAAAACAGTCAGAGATTAGTGTCAGATAATACAAATTTCGAGATTTAGCACTTCTTACATGAATGCATGTTATTATTACATAAATTGTTTTATCAAATATGCACAACGTACTGAAACAATAAACAGTATGTCTTGCGCAATTAATGAGACATTAATGAATAAACACAGTCTTTTTATTAGCAAAATAGTGTACCTTAAGACACAGCACATACTACTCATAAAAATTTTGTCAACAATTTAACTAATCAAACCTGCAGAGCTCGTAGAATTTGTTGGAACAGCAGAATTATATATAGAGAAGCCAGGACATATTTTCAGGTAACTCAAAATCTACATGGTCTTTAATTTGGTAATTCTGACATTTATGGTTTAATAACAGCAAGGCCATTATATTTTTAACAATTCTACAATCATTCCTGTTACTTTGATCACTGTCTGACGCACAACTTCTGCCTTCACATTCTTGGTTAGCCCTCTGAAGCTAATACTTACAAATTCAATTCCTTCACCAAAGCAAACAGAATGCATCTCCATTATAAAGGGCAAATGGTTAATGCTGTTCAGGAAAATAATGGCTGTTTTCTCAGAATTATATTAAACCCATAATACACTCTGTGAGCAATGCAGAGAATTACTGATACATGAAGCAGGTGGTACACAATTACCACTGGGCACTAAAGAATCAACACCAACTTCATGTATAGACTAAACATGAATTATGTAACAATACCTCTTCTCTGGAACAATTCTGCTGGTAAAAGGAATGTTTGCTTCGCTCTTCCTTAGACAAGACTGTGGTATATAAGCGTTTGTCAAAACACAATGGTATCTCCTTGTCCTTCAAACCAAGTGTGTTTAGAATTTCTTCTTGTTGAGCAATGAGCAATTTGTTAGGTACTTGGAAGCCAGCCATGTTCAGTAGGTCTCTTACCATCGGACCTTTCACGGCCAGATCTAATGGCGAAGTTGAATGTAAGGAGGGAGATATGTTTACCTGTAACATTCAATGAAGTCACATAGTGATACTCTGACCTAAAACAATGTTTCGTGCAGTGTCAATAAACCTCATATTTTGATTGGTAAGTACAGATCCACCCACTGCCTATGTCATTATAACAATCTTAATCTCAACTTTACATGTAAATTCTCAATGTTTTACCTAAAAACTCAAATGATATATATATATATATATCAAGTAATTGGGCCTGTTAACTGTCTATATCAAATTTAAAGTAATGCAAAACTCTGAAATGACATGTGGTTTGTGAGTCAGGGACTTCACGAGGTTAACTCTGACCAACAAGCACGGCAATCAGGAGTAATTTTTGAGATCCATGTCTATGAGTTTCAAGTCAATACACAACTTCTAATAAGCATCTGAACTTACCTCAAGAAGCCAAGGCTTCAGCGTTTCATCTAGAAGTACATCAATGCCAAACAATTCGTAAGAGCAGTAACGAGAAACAAGGTTGGCTCGGGATAGCTGGCTAATGGAAGACTCCCCACTGATGATTGTCTTGATAACTAGATCAACGAGACTGTTCCACAGAGCTACAACATTCACTCCCTCTTTCTCTAGGTACGTCCACAGAGTCTTCACTGTCCTGTTGTAATCCACCAAAAAAATACAATGG